TTACTAGGCCTTGCGATTTGATTGAATTTAAATTAACTCTTATCCAGAATTGACTGCAGTTTCAAGCTCGCCTAGTTTTCATCATTCTCAATGGAAATAAATATTGTGTAGTGAGTTTCGTGTATCCACTTTAATGAGGACGCACTTGACTAGTGTCGAAACCCAAGCAGTCTCCCAACAATGTGCCGTCTACAGGACTTTTTACTCCGCAGCACTAAATTTGCTTTGCCTGGACCGACTTTGAATTAACGTCGCATCTTCACATTGAGCCTCTACGCAATATGTGGCTGTGACATCTTTTCCACAGACTCACTACGCAGCAAATCTCAGTTACCCGACTCTTGCTCTTTATCCTCATCACTTATGTACATATGAACTTCATCTATCTTACTGCTGCATGGCCATGTATATCCTTAGAATACTTACAGTCTATATTATATCCCTTTCTCTAATCCGCCCCATTTTAGGTTCTTTCTAGTGTTCTAGTCAGATAACAACATATTCATTCGAGTGCTTTGCCTTCAAAAAGATGACAAATTTTTGGTGGCTCCTACTAAATAATATGTAATTCCGTTTATCTGCATACTATACTCAAAGCCATAAATGCGCATTTTTACATCCATCCTTTCATTAGTCGACTAACCACGCTCAAGTATTGCGTATCTATCTCCATCTGAATGGTTTTCATTTCAACCTGTCCCCTCTTTTTTCTTCAGCCGTAGCGCGTGTCATAAACTTGTGTTTTATATTTTTGGGACATAAATTGTAATTTATCATTTCATTTAGGAATATTGCATCTCCCTTGACCAAACTATCTCATTTATTTCATCTTCCTTCCTCTAATCAATGCCTCATGCCTTCTTTTCTTGCCTCCTTACTTCTTTGTTCCCAACGCTCAAAATTATTGAAGATAAATGCCAATTCATCTCAATGCATGCCATCCAATAGTACAGATAACCGTCTCTTATCTGAAGCAGCCTCTGACTTCATTTCAAGGAGATCTTCATCTACACCAGACCAAGAGCAGCCCGCTCCCAGATTAGTAAACTCATTCAACCGCGCTCATGATCCGTATTCAGTGGGCATTACGAATTTCATGCTCAAAATGCCTACCCCAAATAATTGTCCCAATATCTCAGAAACCTGCTGTATTAATAACAATGAGTGGAAAAATGATCCAAGCATTTCTGTCTCAGGGCCAGTCAATCGCTATCACCATGATATCTGCTCTTGCCTTGGGTATGCGATTCCAGCAGACTGGCCACCTCGACTTGACTGCCTGCTGGAAGCAGCCCAGCTGCCATGTTTCGACATGTTAGCACATTCTTGGAATCCGGCTGATTGCTCAGAAAACATTTCGTTGAGGCCGGAAGATCCTTTCACTTTTTACCGGCAACCTGCTGCCCAATGCTCAGATGGGATCCGTGGTAAGATGGGATACTCACGAGGGATTCATCTGTGGCGGATATTATGGAACCCAATTGAACGTGGAACGCATGCTGTTATAGGTGAGTAGTTACTTGGAACTATAATTTAGATAGTGGATGTAAAAACCAGGGTGGTTTGGTCGGAGCATCAGGGAGACCTTGTGGAACCTACCTAGTCATGTATCCTCTGCCACAGTATTAGTAATTTACAGCTTCGGACCAGTGACTTGGTACATTCCAAAACGTTTCTCTGGCATTGTCATAGAGAGGTGTCATCTTCAGCACAGAGCTACAATTTATCAGTGACAAGCCCCTTGATCAATTTTCTGAATTGTTTTAATTTTTCACTAATAAGTTGTAAGTCTCTGGTGTATTAACTACTAAGGCAAATTCGAGACAAGTATTAATCAACGGTTGGACAGAAAATTAGTCACTGGGATTGCCTTCACTCGTCACTTTGATAAGTTGTAACTCTGTGCTTACGATGGTGCCGGCGAAACGTTTGGGAATGTATAAAGTCAATTGCTTTCTAGTACAGTGATTTTTTCTTATGTATACAAATTCTATTCCTATATATCCTATTAATAAGTTCATTGTTGTTTAGTCAGCACCGAAGCTATTGGATTCCTTGAAGTTTCGATAAGATATTTTGACTACACACTAGCCACATGAACATTTCTCTCAGAACCTTAGTTACACACTACGGCCTCGTAAAGGATTCCGGCTACTGAGAAGCGAGATTTATGCTGCATCGAAATGCTTGCTTGTTAAGTAAGTCTGCTCTGGTAAACTCATCTGGGTTCTCCTATATATCTATATTCTAGTTTGGGGGGATCAACCGGTTATTATTGAGGAAATGAGTCTAAGCAAACCTCACGTTTTAATCCAAGATATGAAGATCAAGATGGTGTGGGCTTTTGTGTGGTCGCAATCTCATTTCGTTGTGCAGAAGTTGTTTGACCTTGTTTTCGCAACTTGTTCATATTTGTAGGAAGACTTAGAGGGACGCACCTAGTCCGGAATCCTTTGTATGCATGAGAATTTCCAGTCGGACCGTGGGTGTGGCACATTCCCAGGGGTTTCGCCGCCATCGTGGTCAGCATCTTTAGTGAGTCTTGCCATTCTTAGCACCATACTACGACGCGTCAGAGAGAAACAAAGCCGATCCTATGACTAAATGTGTGCTGAACAGTTGTGGGATCTCTCCTGTCCTTGGATATTCACCTTTCCTATATCATCGTTTCACGCCTTCAATATAACCATTTTTCCTTACTTATTTAAATAGAGTGTGGTGTGCCCTTTTGTGCAGCTTTCATTAGAACCCTCAGCATTCCATGTTGGCGTTCTCATCCCTCTTTATCCTTGTACTGGGAATGTTGATCAGTCTGCCATATTGCTATGCCGTCCTCCTTCCCTAGGCCTTACCAGAGCCTCCCTCTTGCCCCGTAGGACCCGTCTTGTATCTCCCTGGTTCAAGTATTTCATTCGACCCCTGCAACTCAATGTGTGCTACTCGAGGCGTTATTACCCGTCCCCTGCGTCTGGGTGACTAATTCGAGGCTAAAGCCTCTGGGTAATTCTCATGGGCAGGCCTTTGCTACATGGACTACGTCTATGGTAAAACAGGCCTACT